CCCCCGGAACTGTCAGTCCCGTGGTTTTCTCCTCCAGATTGTTCATCCAGCCTATTTTATTTAGACAGACCTGTGGAGATAGTAACAGGCACAAAAACAAGACAGAGCAAAACCAAGCAACAATGTACAACAAAACAACAACAAAAAACAAAACAAAGCATAACAAGAAAGCAAAGCTTGTAGTTAGTTCAAGGACTGTTTGTTGGCCTTTAGGAGTGTTTTCCAGTGATTACTTTTCATAATGACTTGAGTGAGATGTGGGCCCATGGTCGTTGTTATAAGTGTTGGAGTTGATCCTGGACGTGGTGGGTGGTGTATGGTTCGGATGCTGTGATCCTTTCTTCTGGTAACAGCGTTGAGACAGCGGCTCCTGTTTCATAGTGGTGGTTTGAAATTTACACTGCTTGTAATTTTATACTAAAGCATAGCATTCAAACTAACCAAAGAAGAGAGCATTCAGTGTGAAAGAGCTGAAATCTTATCTCATAATATAATTTGTGCAATAATTTTTTAAAAATGACTAAACCAAAATATGGATGCTCAGAATGGCCAGGGGAGGAGAACATTTAAGCCTTTCCTGTCTTGGTAAACTCACTGTTACCTTATATATGTCATCTAATTACTTTTCTCAAAAGAACAATAAAGTGCTCATTTGTTTTTTCTTCAAACATCATCATCCTTGAAATTAGAATTGAATTCAAACCCCAGTTTTCTAATTCCTGTGTACTTTTGGATAAACAGCTTGATTTTCATCATTTAAGAAAGTATGTAAAAGCACCCATATTGTTCCTTAAAAGCGATCTTTCATCAAACTTGGGTTTGTTGTTGTTGTTTGTTAATTTATCTGGCTTGAAGTATCTCAGTATTTTGAATATAAGCAAACTTTTAACTTTTTTGGGCAAATTTCTTACCTGCAAAACTGAATTTAATCTAAGTAGATAAAAATGTTCAAAATCTGGAGAAATGTAATTTAAGTTCTCAAATCACATAGAGTTTGCATTTCTGATAATACTTGTATGTCTCTAGCAAATGATAATCTAATAATAAATGAGTCTAAATCTTATATCTGTTTCTTTTTCTCTTTTCTTCTTAAGGCATCTGCTTCTGGTGATGTGAGCTGTGTGGATGAAATCCTTAAAGTAAGTTATCTGTTTAATTTTTTTTAACTTTAAAAAAAAGTTTAATTATGATCGTTTTGTTTTCCTTTTTAGTTCTTAAAGGATTTGAAGCTGTAGATTAACTTAAATGTGTAACCTGATTTTATCCATCATATCAGTTGGCTATTATTCCCAGAATCATACTTAGGTTCTGAGTCACATAGTTTGTTTACTGTTTACCTTTAAAGAGCTGTGGGGGAAAAATAAATAAATAAAGAGCTGTGGGGTCTTTTTGGTTTGTTTTTTTGATAATAGAAATTGCATTCTTAACAGCTTACCTTGAAAAGAAGCCAACTATAACTGCACTCTTTGGTTTATCAGTTATTGGTCAAACGTTCAATCAGTCATGCCAGTCAGTAGTCTGTACATACTGGTCAAACCCTGCAACACAAGGTTTCTGAATACTGCTCATTTTAGGTGTTTGATGGACTATATCTAAAATTAACACACAGTCAAAAATTACAGTCCTTTGTTGGAAAAAGAAAAATTAGGTGTAATATGTAGTGAGTATGAGTGGCAGTGACAGTCTTACACTCGATAAAGATACAACTGTCAATCACGTATTTGTATTTTCTTTTTTGTGTGTAAGCTTCTCAGTTTGTGTGTGTATAGTAAAAACTGCAGAAAGATAACCCTGCATTGGCTGATTTCTTCATTGACCCTACTGTAATCTCTTAACCTCCCTGAACCTGCTGAATCCTTTTAAGATCACAACATTCCCCCACATTCAAGGAGCTTCATTTGGATTCTCATTCTCTTTATCACCCTGCTGCTCTCTGCTGTTTTCAAAAGTTCTCCCCCGCCCCCCTTTCTGGGAACATCATTCTTCTTTTGGCTATTGTATTCCTCGTTATTTTTATTTTTCATCCACCTTTCTGCCTTTTCTTCTCTGCCTTCCTGGAGCCCTTCTGTCTCTCTCTCACCGCTTAAGTATGCTTGCTCTTTGCTAGCCTTTCTCCTTCTCTTTGATTTGATTTACCATGTTATTCAATACTTCAATCCCAATCTTGTACTCAAGTACAGAACCCAAATTCTCTCTTCCTCTTGTGCTCCTTTTAATCACAAAACTAGATTTAAGACTGAAAATTATTTGGACACAATATTCCTAGCTTTTCTGTTCCTTATTTCATTGAGCCTGAAAAACACAAGATACTCTGCCTTTTTGCCTCCAGAGTTTCCTTGTTTGCTTTACTGCATTGCTGAAAAGGTGTTTTGCTTAAATCTCTGTCCTTCATATTGATTATCTTCTCTGAAATACGCTGTTTCTCTATGGCCAACAGAAAGAGAAAGGTCCAAATTCAACAATTCAGACCTTCCACAGATTAGTCTGAACTCTCCCACTCCTGATTGATCTCTTTGGCCCAACTGGCTTCCCTAAGCTATACATGGCCCTCTTTCTTTCTTTTTTAATTTGACCTCTTTAATATAAAGTTTCTTAGTGTATTTCTCTTTTTCAGTTATTTCTAGTTTGTTTGCCTTTGAATCTCATATAGTGTTCATTCTCAATTGCTATGTACATAAAAGTTTAAGGTATTATATTTTCCATTGAATCCTCAAAAATCCATGAAAATTGAAAATCTGGAAGAAATCCCAAGTTTTCTTCTATTTAATTATCTCTTTGAGATCAATGATAATTTATTTTATATGCCCAGGGCTTGGCACATGACTTTGGGTGTGTTAAATGTGCAGTCATTTGATGATAAGTGGGTAATTAAATTTATTTTTGTATTGAGAGTATTTTGTCTTGTGAGTTATAAAAGGCCAATTCTGAGAACCTGGGGCAGATGAGTTTTTGTGTCTCCTATACTTCCCTATGTGTACCTTGCAAGGACCTGCTGGCATGCATTATGAGCTAAAGAAACTAAATGGACATTTAACTCTTCAGACTATGTGTATTTGAAAAAAATAAGGTATATTAATCTAGAGCATCCTAATTGAGCACCTAACATGTACCAAGTATCGAGGAGTCTGGTATACGAATGATAGCCTTTGCCTCCTTTGAGCCAACATTCTAGAACAGGACGTAGGTAATAATCGACTGTATAGTTGTTTCAGGAAGTATAGTGCTGTGAGAGAGAACACATCAGGAGAGGGATAGAGAACACTGACAATGCAGGTGGCTGTTTTAAGAGGATCATACAATCACACTGTACCAAGTACCATTGTCTGTTCCTCTTATCGTCTCAAGGGTAGCCAAGGTTAATAATCCAGGGGATTTTTTAATATGTAAACTTTTAGTAGTTAGACATAGATTATGACTTATATTTCTCATGTGGAATATGCTGTGGACATAATTTCACACGTTTTTCTCATTTTACTTATTTATATTATTGTTTTGTTTAGTTTCTCTCACTGTAATGCCCATTGTTGATCCATTGTATGGATGTCTCTTCATTTATTTAACCAGTTGTGTGTTGTTGGAAACTTAAGGTTGTTTCCATTTTTATGTGTGATCCCCTCCAACATGTATCTTTCCATAACTGTGGGAGTTGTAACGACAGGATAAATTCTCAGAAGTTAGTACCACCTTTAATTTATGGTATTTTCTCATTGTACCTAATGGCTTGCTTTGAACTGAATGCCAAAAATAAAGCACTCCTCCTTAGTCTAAGTTTGATACCTGCCCCTTCCTTGTTTCTCTGACACACATTCTTAGCCACGGAGCTAAACCCCACGTGGACATATTCATTATATGATAGGAGACAGAAGGCACTGAGTAAAACCAGACATGGAGCCTTGGCCTATGTGTCTTCCTTCCTCTTCGTGTGCTTTTGAAATCTCTCTTGATTTTCTCCACCTAGCCAAATTTTCCTCTCAGTGCATGGGTTCTGTAGTTGTGCTTTTTGAGATGAAGTTTTGTGTCTACTACTGACTAAGAGGGTGACCGTAAAGAAACTTTTGTGCTTCTGGTTCATCCTGTATAGATTGAGGACAATAATGGCACCTACCTCATAATGGCATTATGAGCACTGAGTGAGTAACAGCCATGTAAAGCACTTACTCAGTGTCTGCCCTAGTAAAGGTACGAGACAAATGTGAGCTACTCTCTTTATCATTAGCCCTTTCCTCCTGCTCCCACAGCAAGCTCTGCCTCTTTGGGGCTTTACTGCATGCCTTGTATTTGAGTACAGGCTGACTTCCATAACTATTCATGGGTCTTTGCCTCTGTAAGCTCCCTGATGTCAGGCAGTGTATACTTTTATCTTCTATTACCCTGTATTGCTTAGCACACAATTGTGCCTATTTAATATTTGATTAAATATTATTTTGGAGAAAAAAATCATGAAACCAGTATTTTTCAATACAAATCTGGTTTTTAGCTGTTATAATTTTTATCCTTGACCTGGTTGAAAACCAATTGTAATAATTACGTTTCAGGAGATGACGCATTCATGGCCTCCCCCTCTAACGGCTATTCATACACCTTGCAAAACAGAACCTTCCAAATTTCCTTTTCCAACTAAGGTAAGTAAATAAAATGTATCTTTGGTACTTTAAGAAAACAATGGCTTGACTAAAATTACATGAATTCAAAATTCTGTCTTGCCATTCCCAGTAAATAAGTAAGTAAATAGATAATTTCATAGAGTAGTCACTGTAAATAACATAAGCGTAATGGATTGAGAGGTACTTGAGAAAGCTTTGAAGGCAATGTGGGGGAGAGACTGGAAGGACATTTATGCTTGCTGTAAACTATGCTAAGCCAAAAGTGATAAAGGGCTTCTCAATCTGTTGGCTGAAGACTCTCTTTCCAAAGATGTAAGTCATACATGTACATCCTGGAAAGCATTTCCTCAGACAATAGTTTCAGGATCATTTAAAATCAGATTTATTTTTAATTAGCTTAACACTTAAACAGTTGTTATAAGAATACATTCTCCATGTGAAAACTTGACCAGAACCCCTAATATAGCCTTCCTCCAATTCTGTCTCCCTCCCTAGAGCTAATTTCACATGTATTTTCAAATCTTTTTTTTAATGCACGTATGTACACATATATGTAATCATTTACATGTAAGCATCTTCTCATTTGATTTCTACTTAAGTATATTGTTGTTGTATCTCTTTAATCAGACAGCTGTGTGTCTTGGAGTCCTCTGCATGTTACTTACATATGCAAGTGTCTTGTTTCTTTAAACTATTCATAGTATAAATATATCCTAGTTTATTTAGTTCATTCCCTTTTAGCATTTAGGTGGAGGACAATTTTTCATTTCTATAGGGTTGCTGTGAGTTGGAATCACTCAGTTGCAGTGGGTTATAATATTGCTCTAGTGAACATTTTTGTTCAAGCTTTAATATCTACACGCAAGTTTCCTTAGAATAAAACACTAGAAGTAGAATTGCTCAGTGTTGTGTTTGTTCAGTATACAGTATACTCTTAAAATTCCTCCCGTCGCAGTCAGACCAATTTATGCTCCCGCTTGCATTACCTGTTTTCTTTAACACACTATCACCATCTGATATTTTTACTAAGCACCAATCTCTTGAGTCAAAAAGGGCATTTCATATAGTAGTGTGGTTCATCTTTACACATCTCTTATTCATTTGATTTCTGTGTGGGTGAATTTGCCTATTCCCTTGCACTTTGAGTTGCTTCTTTATTTAACCTATTGAGTTCTAGGAGGGTTTTGTTTAGTTTTGCTTTACTTTGTATGTTTTATTTTGATTTTGGATTCCAATAATTTCTTAATATATAATGCAAATATATCTCCTGTTTAGAATCTTAATCTTTTTTATTTTTTATGGTCTAGAAGGTTTTCATATTAATGAATAAAATACATCTTTCTATTCCTCTGTAGCTTTTACTTTTTAAAAAATGTCTTCATCAAGAAGGTTCCACCCCGGGGAGTGGGGAGGGAGGGGAAAAATGAGGACCTAATGCTGGGGGCTTAAGTGGAGAGAAAATGTTTTGAGAATGATGAGGGCAATGAATGTACAAATACACTTTACACAATTGATGTGTGTATGGATTGTGATAAGAGTTGTATGAGCCCCTAATAAAATGATTAAAAAAAAAAAGTTCTACCCCTCATATCATTAATACAGCCATTCATTTCTCTCTTAATATGATAGCAATTCTATTTTTAATGTTTATGTCTAGTCCAAGTTATCTTGTGAATGATGGGAGATAAGAGTTGTATCCATCCTTTTGTCAATTAATGTCATTGCCACTCATTAAATACATTTTATACATATATTAAAATTGTATCTGTAGTTTATGCACAATTCTAGGTTTAACAAATGTAACCACCACTCTGATCAAGAATGGAACATTTTCACCCCCTCAGATGTTCATTTGGAGTGAATATACTTCTACAATAGGCCTTACACCACAACTATGTTGAGTTTTGTGGCATTATGGACTTAGTTTGTGCCTTTTCTAGGATTTCAGATAAATAGAATCCATTTTACATGTAGATTCTTTTGCTCAGCATGTGGCTTTGGAATTCTTCCTTGTTCTTGAATACATCAGTAATTTATCCTGTTTATTGCTATTGTATTGTATGGCAATACCAACATTTGTTTATTCATTCACATGCTGATCACATGGTTGGCACACTGGGTTAAGCTTTTGGCTTCTAGCAGCAAGGCTGGCAGTTCAAACACACACACACACACACACACACACTCGCCTCTCTTTCAGGAGAAAGATGAGGCTGTCTACTCCCACAAAAATTTATAGTCCTGCAGTGCAAGATATGACAACATAATAATTTATAAATTATCAAGGGTTCATGAGGGAGGGAGAACGGGGAGGGAGGGGAAAAATGAGGAGCTGATGCCAGGGGCTTACGTGGAGAGCGGGTGTTTTGAGAATGATGGGGGCAATAAATGTACAATTGTGTGTATGGATTGTGATAAGAGTTGTATGAGCCCCTAATAAAATGATTTAAAAATGTTATAGTCCTGGAAGGCCCATGGAGCAGTTCTCCTTTGAGTTGATATGAGCTGGAATCAACTTGACTACAGTGGATTTGGTGTGGTTCGGTTTGATTTTCATTAAGCTTTAGGCGATTGAGAATCTGTAAGCATTTGGGTACATTGTGTGGACTTACATTTTCATTTCTCTTGTGTAAATAATGGGCTCATATGATAAGAAATAGACTTACCGAATTCCCTGATGTGTGCATGTTAAATTTATAATAATAGTGATACCACACAGTAACTTCATCTCTCTCTAACAATGTTATGGTAGTTTTGGTTGCTCTACATTTTTGCCTACATTCGTTCATATAGTCTGTTTAGTTTTAACCATTCATTCCAGGGGTTCGTAGAGAAATTTTTGTTTAATCTTTACTTTGTATTTCTGTAATTAATGATTGAACTGAAGCGATTTGTTTCATGTGCTTATTGGCTATTCATTTGCTTTTCATGACTTGCCTGTTCAGATATTTTATATTATTATTATCATTTTTTTATGGCTGTATTGATGTGAGAGCTGTTTGTAATTTTCCTTTCTTGTAATGCTTTTGGCTTTTATTATCAGTGCATTTCTGGCCATGTAAAAGGAGCAGGAATGTGTTCCTATATCTTTATTTTATGAAATAGCTTGTGGAACATTGTCATTAATTCCTCTTTAACTGTTTAAAAGAACTAAGTATTTAAACCACCTGGGTCTAAAGGATTCTTTATTGGAAGGTTTTAAATTACAAATCCAATTTCTTTATGAGATATAGAGCTACTCATATCTTCTGTTTCTTGCGTCAATGATGTTACTTTGTTAATTTTATAAAGTAAAACTGATTGTCATAAAGCTATTTATGATATCCACTTAAATCCTTTAATGCTTGTCGGATTTGTAGTGCTCTCGTCTGAAATTAGTGGTTGGTGTTTTCACTTTTTCCTTGATTAGCCTATTAGAAGTTTAACTGGTCATGTATAAGATTTGGTCTTTATTTTACTTTTTTTCTGTTTTGATTATTGCTAAAATTAAGATTATGTTCCCCCTGTAATTTGGGTTTCCTAAGGTGAAAAGTTAGATAATTTATTTATAAAATTTTTTAATATAGAGCTATACATTTTCTTCTCAACCTTTCCTTATGAATACTCTATGATCGACATATAATCACACAACCCTCCAGGGGGAAGAACAACAGAAACCATGGGGGAAGGGAGGCCGCGGTTGGTGTAAGATATGAAAATAATAACTTATAATCTATCCAGGGGTCATGAGGGTGGGGTGGTGGTGGAGAGGAGCTGATACCAAAGGCTCAATAGAAAATAAATGTCTAGAAAAGAATGATGGTAACACATGTACAAATATGCCTGGTAAAATTGGTGTATGGATTGTAGTAAGAGTTGTAAGAGCCCCCAATAAAATGAACTTTTAATAATAAGAAGAAAAGGTATACTGTACAAATTTTGATAGACATGTATTATCATTTAGTAGAAATATTTTCTGATTTCCTATTTGACTTCTCTCATCCATGGATCATTTTAGAAATAGATGTGTGCAGATTTCTATGAATAAGCATATTTAGAAGTATGTTATTTTAAATAAATTTTAAAGCTTTTATTTAAAATATTTGCGGTTTGGGGGTGAAATGCTAAGGGCATGTAACACAGCAGTAAAGAGAGCAAAGTGAAGAGGTTCCTGGGGACAAACAACAGAAAAGTGGGTTAAGGGTGACAGAGGATGATGTAAGATCTGAAAATAATAATCTATAACTTATCAAGGGTTCATGAGGAAGGGAGGGAGAAGGAGGGAGGGAGAAAATGAGATGATATCAAGGGCTTAAGTAGAAAGAAAGGGCCAAGAAAAAGGTTTTGAAGATGATGATGGCAACATGTACAAATGTGTTTGACACGATGGACGAATGGATTGTGATAAGAGATGTAAGAGCCCCCAATAAAAGTATTTAATTTTTAAAAAAGGCCACAGATAATACCATAAATAGACTTTGGGGCCAGGGCATGGCACCCCATCATATTGGACTGAAAAACACTCCTAAAGGTCAACAAACAGACCTGGAATTTTTTTTTTTTTTGACCTGGAATTATTTATAGGCTTTTCTTTTGTTCTCTTTTGTTGTGGGGAAATGAAGTGGGTGTTAACAAATCCAGGCCCAAGGGAACAACAAGTGATCTAAAATCTATGGCGAGGAGTGTTTAGGATACCTGGTAGGGCTTGATCAAGAGCATTGTAACCGAGAGGAATTACTGAAACCTGAATGAAGGCTGAACATGATAGTGGGACAAGCAGAAAGTAAAAGGAAATAGAGGAAAGAACTAGGAGGCGAAGGACATTTATAGAGGTCTAAATACAGGCATGTACACATGTAAATATATGTATATAACAATAAGGAAATAGATCTATGTACATATACTTATAGGTTAAGTATTAAGATAGCAGAGGGACATTGGGCCTCGACTCAAGTATTCCCTCAATGCAAGAACACTTTGTTCTAATAAACTGGCATTCCGTGATTCTCACCTTCTCTGACCTGATCACTGAAGACAAA